GAACAATAATAATTCATAGGCTGATAGATCCATATCGAGAACAGCTTTTGTGTTACAATTTTTTCTTCAAATACAATGCAAATATTATCAATAGACCCAAATTTTGTCAACACAAATGGTTCTAAGCCTGACGTTTAGGATATTGCATTACTATCCATGCTAGTCGAACTCATATTATTTACAGCTGTAACTAGGTTTTGGCTTAGTATAATATTAAAAACTCTCATAAGTGCATTTCACCTATGGAAATTTTACAGAAGACTTTAAAATGTAATGTTTATCACGCTGTCCTCCTACCATCTATTGTATTGTCAGAAAGTAAAGAAATAGTCGAATATTGGTTCTTCATTACTTTTGAAAATGCATGTGAGTTTCTGAGAGAAAAATAGATGTACAATATTATAGAAGGGTAGTTTGAAGGATTTAATAGAAATTTTATTACCAAAACAGCTGTAAAGTTCTATATTTGAATTGCAAATTTTTGTACTCGATGGTTTCCTTGATCACTAACATATAAATTCCCACTAGCATCAAATTTTAGGTCTCGCGGCGCTTGCAATTGATTCGCTGCAGTTCCTCCAGTGCCAGTACAACCAACAACACAGATACCACCTGCCGAGTAATTTGTAGTCCATTTCACGATTCGGTCATTTCCTGAATCAGCTATATACATATACCTGTCAAATAGAATATATAAATGCTTGCAGAAAAAAGAAGTCTAATAGGAGTTAGATATATGTTAAAAAGAATAACAACTACAATTTACTAGTTAGAAAATTAATGAAGATACTAATGTTTACACAACTACGATCCGTTTCTCCAAAGCCTGTGAATACATGTTGCAAACTTTTGCATGATGCATATTAATCTTATTTTTCTTGAAGATCATATAATGTAACATATAGACATAATTGTTATCGCTTGTCGATACATAGAAAGTGCTCAACTTGTTCCATATGTAATTTAAAGCTCACTGAAAATAGCAATAAAAAAGCCATGTTTTCGCTTATTCAAGTAGCAGTGAACTGATTAATCTTAATCAATAAATATTATGATCGATCATTATTCGAAATATATATGACAGTCTTTAAATTTTTGGTTGTTCAATAGCAGCAATTCAAAACTCTAGTCATAAAAGCTGTTTTAATCACTGCTAGAAAAAAAGTTTATTAGTAATTAAAACAATTCCAGCACTATAACATTAGCTCAACCAGAACCCAGCAAATTCAAGAAACATACCCATTATTATCGACTATTACCGCTAGAGGACCATTCAAGTGTCCTAAGTCAGATCCGGCTGACTGATTGACACCAGCTACAGTAATTCCACTGCTGGCTCCACTGAGCCACATTTGTATGCGATCATTTCCATTGTCAGCTACACAGAGTGTTTCATTCTCATCAATGAAATTTCCAAACGGGGATGAGAATTGATCTGCTCTTGATCCAGCTCCATTTATACCTGCTATAATTGTACCAACTCCGCTTGAACTGTTAAATTTCACTACACGACTATAAGTTGAATCAGTTATAACGATAATATTATTTACATTGATATGTAAATCTCGCATTTGACCAATTAAAAGTGTCGAGCTATTACTAGTCAATGTTGTTGCAACGGTTGAACTAGGAGGAAAACTTTGAATACGATAATTATCACTGTCAGCGACAATTACGTTGCCATATTGATCAACAGCGATACCCTTAACCCCCGACAGAAGACGTGAAGTACGACCGCTGGTTCCATTACCACCAACGAGTACACCGACAGTTGTATTAGCATAGTATTTCACAACGCGATCATTGTCCCGATCAGCAATGTACAATGTGTAGTTATTATCAATAAAAATATCTACAGGAGTGAAAAGGGATCCCAAATCACTACCACTTGACCCATTACTGTTACCAGCAACCGTTATACCTGTTTGACTCCATGTAGCGTTCGTTGGTATTGATAATGACCAAATACTAGCCGATGTAGCTAAGAACAAAAATTCATATTAAATTAATTTACAAACAAATAAAAGTGATTATCTTACTCGTTGTTGTTGTCGTCGTTGTTGTTGTCGTCGTTGTTGTTGTCGTCGTTGTTGTTGTTGTCGTCGTCGTGATTGTTGTTGTTGTTGTTGTTTCTATTGTAGTGGTATCAGTAGTTCCTGTAGAGAATCGAAACTAAGATCATAATAAATTTGATTAGTTTTAATTAAGCTTATTGATAGTTCTTGAGAGTGTCTCTATAATGAATTCTCTTATAGGGCGAAGATGGTAAACATAGCCAAGTTTTTATGATTAATTTTGAACTTTACCAATTGTTACGGTACAGTTATAGATGTTAGACTACCAATGAAAATATCTGTATTATTCGTTTATGATAGTCACTATAATGGAGTTAAACTGGAAAACTCACTAGCTAATCAACGTATGTAAAATATAGGATATCCCAGGCGTATACAGATAAAAATATCGAATTCTAAGGTGTCTTCAACATATATGAGAGGTTTACAATCAAAAGTTTTAGTAACATTGTTTCGAACAAGTTAAATAGAGCTCATTGACATACTCGAAAAGAAAAGCATGTCTCAATTTGAAATAGTTTTACTAATAAAATTAAGAATTATGAATCTACTCAGTATATATTTAAAATTTAAATTTGGCAGTGCAAGCTTTAATTTGACGACTAAATCGACTATGATTAAGTAAGAATGTAAAAATCTTAATTGCTAAATGTGCAGTATGTTTTGCACAGTTCAAAACAATCAACATGCAGATGTTTTGTTGAAACGTGTTGCTTAATCTCATGATATAATTATACAGATGTGTTGAGGTGATGTGCGAAAGAAAACGAAACGCTTATTACAAGTTGTTTCAATTATGTAATGGTAGAAGCAATTTTAGCTGTGTTTTGAAATAAAAGTAAAAGTTTCTACCAAAAATGATAGGCGAATCTGATGAAGATTTTTAATGTATTCTAAGAAATCGTCTGATGAATAAAAAGAAACTGAACAAGAGAGCTTTTATATCCTCCAATTTTTCGATGATTCAGAAAATTTTATTCTGTTAGCGAAAGCTTTTTGCCAAACCTGTTGTCTTCTGTTGTGATTGAACAAGTAAGCCCACAATCAATCCACAAATACCAGCTATCAACGTGGCAATGCCGAGCATCAAAAGAAAACAGCAAAGCGGTGAACGAAGACAACATCGACGATAACGATTGTATCTAAAAGATAGTATGCACATGAACCAATAGATCAAGTGAATCTCAATAATATTACAATGCTTAAACACTGACATGTTTTATTATACTTCGAAAATATCTAATATTCGAAAATCAAACAAAAAAATCTCTAGTACAATAATTGATCAACAACAATATAAGTGGGAATTGGAGTATATTAATTTCAGATTGTGAAGTTTGTTTTTTAATAACTTTGAAAATTATAAATAAACTCAAAGATAAAATAAATGTATTTCTGAATAATTTGATGAGAAGGGTTACTTTTTTTGCGTTTGAATTTGTTTTTCGTTAGTAAGCCCAATTCAAAATTTACATATATGTTTAGTAGTGTAGACAATCCTACAATCTATTCAAACATATAATTTTCTCAAAATACTAATTATTAGTGACGATATCCTAAAAATCAAATTAGTGATATTAAATTAAAATCTTAAGCAAAAAACTGTTTCGTCCCTCAGAACCGTGTAAATAAAATATTGCGTATCTTCTTACTGTATTTTTTTCGGCTTCGGTGAGTTTTTTCTCATGGCTGTCGTCATACGATCAACTTCAGTTGCTGGTGGTGTTACTTGCCTTGGCCATTCGTTAATCTTTGTTAAATAGATACGATTTTATTAGTCAAATATTTAGTTTGGAGTGATAGATCTTTATGAACACTTACTGAATTTTCGTTTTCTATCATTTTCTGAGTGGAATTATCTTTTAAAGTGACCTTAGATAAGCATAAGTAAATTTGAAAATAAACAAAATAAATCAAGTAGAATCATACATCATTTAAATTTGGACTTTCAACTTTGGATCTGTAGGATTCATCAAGTGTAAAATTATGACTGCTCCATTGTTGTGAGGTGTTTATAGAATTTTCAGGATGAACATGTTTATGTGTTCGTCGTCGCCGTCCTCGTTTTTTGTGTTTGATAACATGTTGACTCGATTCAACAGGAACATTTGGTAGTGATCGACAATGCCGTTTAAAAAACGTTGTTGACTTTCACAAAAAAAAAGAAAAGAAAAATTTATGTTCTGAATGATGAAGGACGATAATCTCTATTATAAATTAAACTAATTCTTAAGAAACTGAACTAATTCTTAGATGAATCAAGACTACATTCATGAATTCATTGTAACTATGAGTTTCGTCTTTCTAACAAAATGTATCCATGTATTGATAGAGTATGCTCACATTCTATTAAGTCAAATAGTTAAAATCTAAGAAGTGTTACTGTTTCTAGTTCAACGCGTTAAGTTTTAACCAAAACAAGTGATATTCTACTTTAAATATCTCTTACTTTAGTCATTTGATTTTCAAAATTCATTGACGACATTAAGCTTTTAGTGCCAGTCAAGGTATGAATAACTTTCTGAGATTGACGTTTTTGCGTCTTTGTCGTTGATGGATGATTTGGTACATTGGAATCCTATGTAACAAAGAAAAAAACTAATCTCTGAAACATTATCAATAAATTTTTCAGGTTTACCGACGAAATTGGAGGTTGTTCTGAAGTTTTAGTATCAGTAGACATTTTTACGTCCAAGATAACTGTCAAACTCGCACGTCTATTCACTCAATTAGTAGATAAAATTGAAATTGGACTAGCAATGGTAGGAATGAGCTATCGATGCGTCGAATCCAGCGGAGACAACCGATAATTTTATTCGAGTTATGATTGAATCTTTCGTATTTTTATTCATGTACTATTATTTCTATGTGAGAGAGAAAAAAAAATATTATACTGGATTCTTCCAAATTATTATGTAAATTAGTACGTTGTTTGAGTGTCTATTACCATGTTTCTCTATGAATGTATGGATACGTTAGTGAGCCTCGAGTAATTTCAATTTTAATTCAAAATAAATCAAAAATGAAAGGGTGATGGATTTCAACAAATGTTGACGTATGACTAGAAAAAGAATCATTGCAATAGTACAAGTTTTTTATCACATTCATTCCACAACAAGTAGAACAAACATGAATAACACGTGTTCTTTTTTCTTCAAATACGAACGAGTGATTATATTATTGTTTTATGAAAATCTTTTATTCTAGTATATTGTTGATTTGAGATTGTTATGTAGACATAACGAAAGTTTTCTTTTTCTGTAAATAGTAAAATTTTATAAGCTTGTTTTTTCTTGAAAATTTCTAGATTGATGAATTTTCTGTTTACATATTGAAGACTTAAGAAAAGTATTGAATCTAGTATTTTAATCAAAGTTTCTGTTTTCAAACTTAGAAAAGATCGAAATTTTTTTAAAACGAATAGGTATCATGTTGATATTGGTACAGAAAATGCTTCGTTTGGTTTTTTTTGTTTATTAACTCACAATTCATTTTTTAAAATTATTTTATAGTAAATAAAGATAAAACAAACATGACACAATTTGAAAGTGAAAGAACATGTATCGCATGAAGTATTTCGAAAGATATAAACACTTAATATTTAGTCACACTACGAAAACATGTTAGAATGTTACTTATACGAACTTTGCAATCATTAGAATAATAATGAAAAAATTGTTATTATTATTGAATTACTTTTAAATATGTGTGATTTTATTTCTCCTTGTTTGAATAGTCACGTTTGATTCATTGATGACGAAAGCAAGAAAAGCAACTATTGATGAAATTCTCTTATTGTGAAGACATAATAATCCATATCAAGTTAGGTGAAAATTTTTATTTCGTGTTCGGATAATAAAAAATGTACCATTCGAAAGAGCGTAAAAAACTGAGTCTCGTGGAGTAATTTTCTCGGAGACCTACTTCCAAGTCTCCAGAAAAAAATTTTAAAAAACGTTTCTCACGAGGGAACCGCCCGAGGTGCCCAACGCCGATTCCTTTCATTCATAGGCCGCTTGATAGAGGGCATCGAGACAGTAAAAAGCCTAAAAGGATTTGTGCCCACGGCTCTTTCTTGAAAAGTTAGGGCCAATTTTCTGTTCTTCCCAGCTAAAATGGTCAAAATTTGAAAACCTTACAATTCAGTCAAGAAAGATCGTATACACTTGAAATTTTCACCACTACAAGCTCACAAGCCCTGCTGATCAATCGGAAAACTCTAGATTGTTTAGGTCTTTCATTCTTGACTTATAGGATTTTGTTCATCATTTAAAAACAGGAATTCCGTAGCCTGAAGAAATCTAATTTTTGTGTGAGAGCTTCGGAAGTAAGAAAACTCAATGTTGTGTGAAAAATTTCGCGGTCCATCCGAGAATGAACTTCATCTCCGACCTGCCATGTAGAGATTTCTCACATTAGAAAGATATTTTCTTTATCAAAAATCTTATACAAGCAAAATCAGAGCAAAACAAACTATTTTCAAACTGTTTATCTTGGTTATACGTTTAACAGAAATCAAAGAAAACGAACGAGAGCAAGCGTACAACAAAGAAACACCCTCAATGTTTGTGATGACTATCATAGAAATGCAAGAAGCACATAATCTTTGAACAAAAACTACATTTTAGAAACGGTGCATTTCTACAATTTGGTTGGCAACAACGAGCTTCAGAAAACGTAAAACAGACTTTCTTGACATTCTGAAAGGAACCAGGGTATGATTTCAAATATCCTGATTGATACCACGCATAAAGATTCATTGGGATGAACTTCAGTGAAAGCAGCTGATTATAGGCCAAACTATTCATTTTTATTATATTGTTTCATTGAGCTAAAATAGAATCCAAATTATGAAGACGAACATGATTGTAAATTTCTCGAATGAAGTATTTGTACTGACGATTCCACCCCACATCCAATAGTTAAATCATTGAAGTTGTCTTTTTTGGAATTTCAAGTCGCTTGAAATGTTTCATTTTATTATATAACATTTCAGTTCTCTGTCCACCCCAATAATCACCTAAGAGCAGACATTTTTTGTCACCAACCAAAGGCAAAAGTACATGATCACTCCAATAATATGCATGACTGGTTGCTAGCTTTCCTCATTTGCTACCTAAAATTTGAGGAAAACACGTTAGACATTCATTCTTCGACCCTTCTTCTTTCGTAGCATCACATTCTTTGTGTTCTGCTATTCGTCCACCAAAAAAAAATTGTAGAATGGTGTACACAGTCGAAAGGAAAAGAAACAAAAATACGAGAATATAGCTGACGAATAACTTACAGGTAATTATTAGATTATCCGCCTGAAATAGGCTTTGTTTGATAGTTCCACTCATATATCCATTCGGTTCTTTAAGACAGAAAAACAATTTGCCAACCAAAGTACCGGCCAATGACAGAATCGGCTGCACCGTGTAGCTGTGAGTAGTATTGTGTAATGATCGAACTTTAATGAGTGTGAGCTTTTCACATTCAACCGAAAGCGTCTGATTGGAGTACATTTTCAATTCTAAACCGGATTGATCTGTGTCTAATACGTAATGAGAATCGTAACCTGGCAACATCTTTTGTACGTCACAGGTAAAAACATCAGCTGATTTATTGATCTCGTCTGCGCTTTCGACTTCTCTCTTCATTACTAGCTTTGTTACATGCCTGCTGCAAATCTCATGACGATGTTTAAATAGACGAATCCAATGTTCACTGGAACACACAGAGAAAAAAAGCGTTAAAGTCGATATTTTCTATCTTCTTCGTTAAGCCCCACACAGTTTGTTCTATCATGTCATACAACACGAAGAATAGGAACTGTAAATGAGAACGAAACAAAGAAGGCTATCAAGAGAAACTTTCGAGCAATACTTTTAGGATAATCTTACCTTCCAGAAAAACTTTCATCATTTATTTCACGTGCCTTTTGTAGTCCCGATCTTTTCAAATCTATGTCGTGTATAAACAATAATTGTTCACGTGCTTTTTCAAATGATTCATAAACGAACGAATCAATTTCTTCAAGTTTTTTTTTCTTTGTACCTTGATGTTCGATGTATTTTCGAAATCACCGGATATAGCTTCTATCGTTGACTTTTCTGAAATGATGCTGAAGACTGGACCAAGAATGTTTCCTTTTACCAGTGTCAAAATTGATTTTATCGTAAAAATCAACGACTTTCTTCATATACTGAAGCAAAAATTCGTCTAGTAAACTGTTTTCTTCATCATCGGTAGCATCCTCCA